TTAAAATATTGAAATGTAAATGTAATGTGATTCGTTTGTATTGCAATTTGTGAATTTCGTAAAGCAAAGAGCTTTACTTCTCAACCGTATTTGCAAAAACAAACAAAGCTGCATAAATTAGTTAGAGAAATTAACGAATTTCTTTGAAAACTACTTTTCAACAACAACTGCTTTCATATTCTGACACTGACAAGCCAGGCACTAGAGCAGTTTTCTTTACTTTTCTAAATACGACATGTAACATATTTTAAATTTCTTATTCTCGTAACAATATTGAAATAAAAAATGTGGATTATATAATAATTACACGCGAAGTGATCTAGTTCGCCATCATTATATACTTGATATTTTGCAGATTCGAGCAGGAATTTGTATTTCAATACAAACTTGTATCAAAATACAAGTGACGAAGCTATCAGTTGTTGGGTTTTAGAAAATATTTAATTGATTGTAACGCTTTCGTAACCATGATGGGTATATATAATATATTTGCTTCGAAGCGACAGCTAAAGTTTCATTATTTCATTATTATACCCGAGACGTGGGTAGCTTGCAGCACCTGAAAACAAGCGTCAGGTAAGTTATAACAATACTCTATAAAGTGCATTCATATACACACACTCTTGATCAAAGGCATATCTTGAATACTTATTCATGTGTTCAAGTGACAAAGAGACTCTATAAAGCGTATACATACTCTTGATCAACGGCATATTATTCAGATATTCGGTTTCAAATTTGGCAAAAACATGTCAAATTCTACCTGCAATTTGCTATTCAATTTGGGTACAACCGTAGATGAAATACAATACAAAGCACTCTGAATACACTTACGCTTTTAAGCGAAAAAAAGAAAGTAAAATCTCTATAGTGGACGTCGTGGTTCGTTCTAACCTACAGATATTTATTGACAGCGTTCGTCCTTGAACCAAAACACCTCAATGCGTTTATCAGTATATAAATAAAAGTTGTGGTATGTAGGGCAAACAAGACAGAGAGGCTGACAGACGGACATATAAACTTAGATCGATTCAGAATCACCTTCTGAATAACAATAGATATTCCGTATAATAAAAGGTGGATCTATCCCAAGTTCTTACGGGCGTTCGACCGCAAGTGCTACAAGGTATTTTATAAAAATGGTAAAATCCGCAGCACACACACACCCATATATCTTTTTTCTTTTACATTTCTTTTTTAAGATAAAGATCGAGAGAGAAAAAATTCGGACACAGAAAAATGTAAACTTGTTAATTGCTTTTATTTTGAGATAGAATTCCTATTTTAAATTTTCTTTATTAAAATTTTCTTTATTCGCAACACTTCCGTTTTGTTTGTCTTTTTTTTAAAATAAATATTAGCATACCTAAAGGCGTTTTTTTAAAATCAAATGTTTAATTTTTAATATTTATTTTGCTTAAAGGTCATGCAGTTCACCAGGGCGTATGAGAACTCTTATATGCCCTCTTAATTATTTGTTCATTCTATTGTCATTTATTTTGTTTCTTAAGCGACATATTTAAAACCGAAAAAGTGAAGCAAAGAAAACTTTTTCAAGTGGAAAAGAATCATTTATTATGCTTCACAAAGTCGAAACTGACTGAATTGAAAAGACATTAAGCAGAAGGTTTAGAAGATAAAACAAGTTAACTGTAATTTACGTGATAAAACGAAAAAAAATCGAAGACAACAGTACCACATAGATAAGTAAACGTTGATAACTACTTAACAGTCAACAAATGGCCAAACAACAAGTAAATATGGAGCAATAAAAGATTTTCGGTTTATATAAAAGTAAGAAAGAAATATTCTTGCACAAAAAAAAGAATATTTTTAAGAATAATTTTTATTAAAATTCTAAATCTTTTTTGACATATAATTCTTGGCGCTTGCCGTGTTTTCTTAATTTATAATATCAATACTTGTTAAAAGAACATATTTAAGAATTCTTCGTCTCTTTTGGAGAAAAAATATTAAGTGGCAAAAGGAACCGTATTCTGATTGGAACAAAAGGATTTACATATGCAATGTGATGTATTTGCGTCTTTATACCAAATTCTATTTAATATTAAACTGTTTTTGTGTGCAAAATTCATTCTTTAACTTTAAGAAATTTTTAATTATTTCTTATATTTCGTTTAAACACATGTATGCAGATAAAAAAAACTTTTTCTTTTTTATTGCTTTAATATGTAAAGAACATTTTCCAAAAAATAATGAAACAGCACAAATAAAATAAACAATTTACTTAAGTTTAAAACTTAAAGAAAGAGGTAACGTTGAATATCAAGTAAAAAGAACAAAACCGTACAAAAGTGATTATCACATAAGAAAATTTCTGACTGTAAAGCTGCCAAAGAAACTAAAGATAACGAGGTGCTAATTTATATGCAGACGCAAATATTTACAGGTACATGTACGAAGCAGCTCTCTAAGTGGTGGAAAACATGCATATTAAATCAGCCTTACTCTCTCTATTTTTCTCTTAGTTAAAAACGTTGTCTTAATGTAAAAAATAACTTTTCAGCGAAGCTACGTAAGATCCTTCGTAAGCTTATGAGTTGGCATTTAAGCATATGTGTGCATTTATGTGTATGTAGGTCAAAAAGTAAGAGTTGTAAGTTTTTTCGGTGAAGTTTTTAATAATGGTTTCCAAAGAGCACATAAAAAAGTGTTTAAACGAAAAGTTACCAATTGCCGTTTGTTATAAAAAAAAACATTCCTCTTGGTTAACGTTCGTCTAACATGCTATCGGCCTAAATGCAAATTCCAATATGGACAAGTAACTAAACCGTATTTGCCTTAAAGCGTATGTTATCTATCTGCTGGCAACTTAGGGTATTTATAACAAAAACCAACAAATTTTCAGTTAATTTATGTGTTTTAGCGTTTTTTGTTTGGACCACTTTCTTGTTACTTACGCGTGCTTAACGAAAATATTTGGAAGCAATTTTCCTATCGATGTCTGCCGTAGTTTATTAGTTATTCACGAATATAAATTACATTTTTTATGTTGTTTATTGCTTTGTCAGTCTCAGGCAAATCAATCGTCCAAATATGCTTCAAAGTTGCCTTCAAGTTCAAAACGATCAGCGGGGTCTCCGATTCAATTAAATTATGGCTTTCGTGAAAGCAAAAATCGAAGACAACCTCAATACTAACCGCCAAATTGTTTAGACGAATTTATAGATATCTCAAAGGGTTTTGCTTATGAAACTTATATCATTTCCGCCGCCCGATAATGTGCAGAATATTCCAAGCCAATCAAATGGAGCATGGATTCGAAGAATGAGGAAATCCGATACAAACTAAATGATGAGCCTTTAAACCTCTCTCAAAATATTTTTCAAATCAAGTTTGTTGGTTCCTCAGTATTTAAAAATCGTCTTGATATTCTGTGATGCAATCAAAACTTCAATTACCTGCAATTGTCATTTGATCAATTTATAGGTCGAACAAAACTTGAAATGGCCTCAATCCACCGTTTTTGGTTTTAAAATTTGTTAGATTCATACTACCAGGGGAGAGTACACGAAATGAAATACAAACTCACTGATTAACTTTTAAACCCATTCCAAAAAATATTTTGCAGTTAAAATTTAGTGAATTCTCACTATTCGAAAAACGACGTAACATTCTGTGATCTAATCAAAACTTCAGTTCCCTGCAATTGGCGCTTGATCAGTGCATAGGTCAAAGAGAACCGTAAAAGTCGTCATTCATACGTGTTTGGAAACACTGCGCTTTTAAAAATGCGATATCCTTGCCATCAGATGGTAAATACAAGATTATAAGCCAGTCAGAGACAAAATTTTGAAAAATGATATAAGATCGAATTGAAATGTATGCCATATTCTGCGATGAGTATTATTATTATTATCATAATTTATTTACATCAAGGAGATAAATTCTAGGGCTGAGAAGGTACAACAAACAGTTGTTACTGAAAAAAGGTGTAAGCCCTTATTTTTTTCAAAAGGAAGACTAGATTGTTAGTCTAATCGCTTAAAAAAAGTTAACTATTTTATTAATGTTATGTTTTCCAGATAAACTTTGAAAACGATTTCCCGAATATTGGAACTGTTTCAGCATTTACTTTAGACGATTCTATCCACAGTTGCAAATTGGAAGAATAGACCGAGGTGGATTCTTGCAAATGTTTTGATCTCGATTTTTTCAGTGCTAATTGGATATACATTATATGTATATATATATATATACATATATATACTAAGAGTTAATTTTATTTTAAAATAAGCCAAATACTTTCATTGAAAATTAATGAAGTTATTATACACAAATTAAAAGCAATTTAGAGCAGTTTAGTGAATGCCCAAGAAAGATTTCATTAAAGCTTGATTAAAAATTATTTTTTGCAAACCTCTGAAGGGTTCCCAGTCTTCTGACTTTAAAACATGTTATAAAAAGCATTTTTTCATCTTTTTTTTTTTTAACAAAACGAAAAAATATTTCTATATTTAGTATGTATGTATAAGTCGTTCACATCGTAACTTTAAACTCCAATGTTTATAACATGTGCACATGTACTTGTTTATAGTGTTCAGAGGCATAAAAAGCATTTGTTTGTTACACAATAAAAGTACAACTGGTGCATGTCAGTTACCACACTACATTTAATTGTTGTCGTTATCGACGTTGATGTTATTCTTGTTGTTGTTATTGCCACATTTACATGGGAAAACGTAGTTGGCCCATTTAAGCGATCACACGTTAACTTTTCATATATGAAACACTAACGGCCCTTGCCATCACTTCTACTCCTACTCCGTTCACTAACCAGTAGTAATGAAAGCAGCATCTACAACTTGATACGTCGTAGGGCTTATATATATAAAACCCTCTAAACAACATCGACCCTTAACAGGGAAAATAGCTTATGATGTTAAAATTTTATAATAAAACAAAAACAGTTTTTATGTAGTTTTGTAGAAATTTTTATAAAAAAAAAAAAAAATGGTTAGAAGAATAGAAACGATTACCTTTGTCGTTAGGATCGAATTCTGCCTCCAATTCAGCTTTAGTTGGCTCTTGTGCTTCAGCGGCAGCAGCGAGAGCAGCATTAGCTGATTTGTTTACTGCATTGGTGCTCGCTTTGTTAGTGTTGCTGCTGCTGGTAGTGGTTTTGGTTTCGGTTCTCTTCATCGTGTTTCTAACTTGATGTCCTCGGAATGCGGCTTGTATTTTAATAGCGGCTTTTGCTGTTAAAAACGAATTAGTGGAAACAATAAGAATAAGAGGAGAAGAGAAATTAATTTCATGTTTCTAATAATTTTTTATTTTTCGTTTTTATTCTTCGGAAACACTCAAATAATTGTTCATTTAAAAATGCTAATAAAATTTAATAAGAATGAGACAAGTAAAAACACTATAACTGGTCACGGCGCACTATTAAATACCCTACAATTATTTATACTATGGTTTTTCGAAATAAAATCGATCGACACCATTTTCAATAGCGATTATCCCAGTGTGTAACTATGTCGGAGTATCGAACGTCATCAAAATGTCTCGAAAATTACGGGCTGTAGGTTGAAGACAAGACGGACAGACAAGCTTAGATCGATTCAGAAAATAATTCCGAATCAATGGGTGTTATAAAAGCTGCATCTATCTGCAGGCCTTCGAATGATTAGATGGACGGACGGACGGACGGACAAGTAAGTTTAAGAACCGAAAGGTGGAACCACTTTCTAAATCGGTCGGCGTATTAAAAAGCGCACATTTATCTCAAACCCTTCTGACTGTTACATACATCCGCACAAACTTGATATACCTTTGCACCACGAGTCGTGCAATGTGTAAATATCTCAGTAAAATTCAATAAGAAAAACAATATACATTCATTGTAAGACAATCGTCTAGAAAATAAATAAAAATCACAAAACTATTTCGTAACTGCAGGCGGACAAATGGTTTCGATTGGATAAATCGCAACCAATTTCGATATACACTACAGGTTGAAATTTGTTTACGGAAACATGATGAGAATTTCAATTTTGTTTTTGTTCTTTGCTTTCACGCTTTGTTCCTAGACATTACTGAAGACATATTCTTCGTCCAAAATTTCAATTCCAATTTTTTTTCTATTTATTCAGTTCACTGTGGATAAATGTTTGCCATTCACTTTAACTATGGCCTTCTAGAGGGAAGTTGACAAAATTATATATCCAGAATGCCCAACATAATCTGTATATATAAAGAGTATAAGGAAAAAAATACTTATTCGTAAGATCGGTATAGCGTAATTTCCATTACTACAGATTTATATTTCTATTATTCATATCAACTTTCACGACTATCAGAGTCCTGAGAATATAGGCACGTGCAGACAGACTTGAATAAAAGAAGAATTTCATGATAACCGTAAATGGGAATGAACTAAACGCTAGCTGGTGTAATATCTAACCGGAATCGGCTGACTACTTTATAACTTGAATTCTCAAACCATTTAAATGAGAAAATTCTAAAAATTAAAATTGTTAACAAATTATCTGTTTTCGTTTTAATTAATTTCAATTAATAATCAAATGAATGAAATAAATTTATTTAATATTCATATGTAGTTAAGCGTAAATAAAGTTTTCAAAATCTCTTTATATCGTGTTTTATAAATCATTTACACACATTAGTTTAAGTAAATTTCATAACATTAATTAATTAATATGGAAATAATATCTCGACTAACACTAATGTTCAATCAGTAAATACTTGTTTATCATCATTAATTTAGAATTTTGTAAACATCATTCATCACGCTGGGATTATGTTCATCGTTAAAGCCATTATTGGCTTTTGTTTTCTAAATTCATTATAATTACTATTATTATTATTACTATTTTACGTCTGAAGCGCACTAACGCTACCAACTAGCAAATCGATACTTATTTATATCACATCGTTCAATAATCGATGGCAACAGCATTGACAGACCAATGTGGTTTTTGCATAGTATCAACTTTTTAACGGCACGTGCCAAAATTTCATGGTACCCTTTGCTTTAATGGCACTACGTTTTTGCTCGCTTTCGTCACCTTTCCCCAGTTGCCATTCATTCGGGCTTTCTCACGGACGATAACAAATACGCTACCTTCTGATCTTTAACTTATCAGCTATCAGAGGTAATTTCATATTTCGTTCTTCCGAGACGATTTTATATACTGCGAATTCGGCAACCAGAACGTTTCGCATTGTCAGTGTCTATATGAGTGCGTTTATAAGCTACCAAACAATCAACAAATGAAGTGTTCGACAGAGATGGCCCAGCATTACATCTTTGAAGCCAAAGCTATTTGTGGACATAATTTTTCTTATTAAAAAGTAACATTTAAACAACACGCAGATTTTTCCATTATTCTCAAAATTACTTAAGTACCGTCACTGAATTAACTGCAACTTCTGCGCTAATTGCCACAATGTCATGAAATTTTGTCACGTATAGTCTGAAGGTCGGTACTATTTGGAAATCGTTTGGATTTGTCAACAGTTTCGCTACCTATGTGTCAGAGCGGAGACTTATTGAGTAAAGTATGCTATGTATATATATGAAAAATTTCATAAAAGAAAAATTTTGGTTACGTGCAGAACAGGCATGTTTGCTAAGCTACACCTGAAAGCGAGTGTGTAAGTATAGTACGTTTGCTTAATATCGCACAAAGCTAGGGCAATGACTTTTGCGATATTGTCCGGAGGACCCTAGTTAATATGTTCCGCTAACTCAAAATAATATATCTATGGTGGCTCTAGACCCTAGAGGGAGGCATGTATCATCACAGTAAACTTAGTTTCAAACTCGACCAATCTTTCTCATCTTGGGGCTTATGAGCAATTTCTACTATAGCGTAACAAGTTATCAATTACTATCTTCTCTCAAGAATTAAACACCTTTGCGATTCTTTTGTAACCTTTTCTTGGGACAAATCGGGAGAGTTCCAACTAACACTTCTAATGGCGAATCCAGCGCGCCATGTAGTACTCGAAAAAAATTGACTTTGTCCAAATGAAATTCGTTAGGGATGCTTTTATCAGATATTTCTTATCCTTATGCTCAATCTCGACGAAAAATTTTCCGCGCTTCCTCATCTTGTTCTTAATAAATGTAAATCTTTCTCTAAATAATGTAATCCAGTTGAAGAGTGCTCCTAGTGCGATGGAAATTCTACTAATTTTTTTTTTTCAATTTCTTTCCGTGTAAACAATAAAAAAGGCTCCTACTATATCTAAGAACAGTTAGTAAAATGGCACAAAACGTTTGTCTCAATAACGCACTTATAGATTCACTCAACTTAATTATTTCTGAAGGACTTTTGTAACAAAATTCGAAACTGCTGAGTTTCTTTATATATCCGCGAACTATTTATAAATTTGAAAGATAAAAAAGAAAAAAAGAACTCCTTAAGTTGCTTTTCCGTTTTTAAAAGAAACTATTTAATGGAGGGATAATTTCTTTTTACAGTTAATTCATGATTTGCAGAACGCTATGCGAAATTTAAATACTTGGTTACATTTACTATTTATATAACCCACATGTACATGCATTTGTGATGTGATGTAAAAACGATTCCCTTCTGTGGATGAAACGAAAAGCATTCTCCCTTATGCAAAACCATTGGTTTGCTTCACATGTCTGTTTGCCTGGTTGACTTGATATCACAGGCAATGTATGCGAAGCCTGTATGTTATTAATAAATCATTTATACAAATGATAGCACATGAGTGAACATTCGATAATATTTCAAAGAAGAAGAAAAAATACAACAAAATTGGTAACATTAAAAGGGATTTGCGTACGAACTTTTCTCGCCACATAACACGTCATCGGTGTGATTTGGGTTAAACACATAAAGTACAAATATTACAATGTAATTTTATAATATTATTTAATAACAAAACTAAGGTTAATGAGGGCGAATTTTAATTAATTATTTCCCCCCTTTTTCTCTTAACCCTCTTGTAAATATGCATGCCAAGAATTGCCTTTGCAGGGTGCAAAGTACAAAGATTTGGATTGAAATCCTTCCAAATGAAATATTTACGCTTTACGTAGAAGAACTAGAGCTAGTAAGAGCTAGTAATTGTTAATTAAATTAAATAATTGTTTTTGTTGTTGTTGTTGTTGTTGTTGTTGTGGTGCGTATTCTTAATGCCTCCCTCTCTTAGTCTCTTAGTGCTAACTAACTAACTAATATAAATTCCTTTAATTGCTTACCCATAATCCTTTTCGGCTTTCTCGACACGTTGCTCGTCGGTTTTCCTTTCTGCTAAACAATAGTAATGTTTGTTAATTTGCTGCGAGGAACTTACACAAAGCTCGATGGCAGCAGCAGTGTCAGAAGCAACAACAACAACGGAACTGAATAGCAACGAAAAACCCTGACATCTTATAAAACGGAAACGGTAATAGAGTGTGTTGTGAAAATTTATTTCATTGTTTGCTAAGTGCATTGTACACGGTGCGGGCTAAACGGAAAACATGTACAAGTGTTCATGTTTTCGCTGTTGTTATTTTAACATAATCCAAAGCAGAAGGCAAAAAATTATATATTTTTTTAATTTTCTTTTTCATTTTTTTAAATCTTTTTTCCATAATTAATAATAAGAAAATGAATTTTACATAAAAGTAGGAAAAATTAAGCAAGAAATTTCCACATCCCCAGGCTGCAAATCGTGAATGGTCTGCTGTACAAATAAACAATTCTTTATCAACCGTAGCCGCAGTAATCGACGAATAAGGATCACACTCCTGTTCATTTATTCTTAAATTATTTCAGCCCGCTGTCTATTAGGAAGTAACTAAATTCTTATGCTTTGATCAGAGTTGCAGCTGAAGCAGTCATGTTTGTGGACAGATTGCTTCCATTTTCAAATTTACTCTATTCTGTTAGCGAATTTGGACGAATAAGGCCTTACACTGAAATGGGCGGAGGGACAGACATGCATGGCTTGAATCGATCAAGGGTCGCTTGCAATTGCTCTATACTCTATAGCGTAATAGACCTTATGACAGAGCAACTGGTGTAGGCAAAGGGATCTTTATCCTACATCTTAAAACGAAGCGCTCGGCCTCATAAATAATGCTTGGTTAAATGTTTAAAAGCACTATCGTAAGACACGAACCATTATTAAGTACCTTACATCACTTCGCTCATATAAGAACCCTTCATAATAAAAAAATTCACGACAAGTCGGTCATAAGGGAAGC